AAATTATAAATGGATTTGAAAGAAATCTACGTTTTACCCAAAAAAAACTTCCATCACTTTTAATTAAAATCAAGGAGAACTAGCTCGATAAAAGTAAAAAACATTAAAATAAAATAAAAAGACTCTTAACTCTTTCAACACCAAAAAAAGAGTTCACACGGTCGTTGTTGCATTACCACACTCACCACATTATTACATTGCAACTACTGCCACACTATCACTGCCATCCGACGTCGCCGGCCACCAGAGTCCCGTCGTGGACCGCTAACGGTTGATTGATCACTCTGCCATACTACACTTCAATCGCCATTTTATCACACCGCAACATGTACTCTTATCTCATACTATCATTATACTCCTATTTTGATCTTAAAAGACTTAGAACTTCAATTTTGTATTTTCATACTTTTTTACTTCTATTCAATGGGGAGATCGCTTTTAAAATTACTAGTGACCCTACTAATTATTAACATACATATTACATCATATATATTCGCTATTAATATATTCATCACAACGTATCCTACCCTACTCTAAAGTAAAGGCAAATTTGGAAAAGCAATACTAAAAGTACACATTCCTTATATTCTACTCCCCGTCTTATTTAATATTGTCTATTTTGACTTTGAGGCATAATTAAGGAATAGAAAAAATGACATTGACCTTCCAAATAAGAGAGTTTGTATTCTAAATAAGAGAGTTTATTATGAAGGTATTCCAAATAAGAGAGTTTGTATTTTTCAAAGTGGAAAAGTTTTAAGAGATGGAGGTAATATCTTTATGTTTTTATCTTCTAAATAAGAGAGTTTGTATTATGAAAAGTATGCAATTTGACATTGTACATTTGCTATTTTAGATATGGAGTATTAGTTAGTACTCCATTTATTATAAAACTATCTTAGCAGTTACTATTCACACAATCAAATTTTATTCACTTTCTTTATATATTTTCATTATTCATTTGATAATATAATATAGTCATATCAAATATAATTTTGTAGATTTTTTGATGTAGTTTTTTTACATTTCTAATCAAGCAAATTGAATTGAAAATAATTTCGATCACACTTTGTAAACTGAAATGAAAAGTTATAAGTTTTAGGACAAAGCGGGTATTGTAAGTCCTATTGAACACTCAATGTGTCCAAGACCTTGTGGTCCAGCCGTATCATGATGACTCTTGCAAATGGGAGGTTTCTGATTCGAATCTGGTCTTGTGGGAGGCAATAACTAAATGTGTTTTAAGATATCGAAAATTTGTAAACAAATACTATATTCTACTCCCTCCGTCCCTAAATAAACTTTCCCTTTTGTTTTTTCTTTGTCTCCAAATAAACTTCTCTAAACCCTTAAAAAAACCCCTTTTACCCCTTACTTTTTCATACCCTACCTATCACATCATACCTTTTTCACTAATAATCTACATATCACATCTTACTTTTACACATCACATCAAGGGTATTTTTGGAAAGTCAACACAAAAATATCCCTTCCTTAAATCCTCAAAAAGTCAAAAAAGGAAGTTTATTTAGGGACGGAGGGAGTAATAGATTTATTAATGTTAAAAATACACTCAATCTTATTTCGATGAAGTGAACATTTTTTTTATAAATAATGCTTGGAGTACCTCAATTGTCCAATAACTCAAGTAGTAGTTAGCTAGATGACTTAGAACTAAAGGAAAGTTGCACTATGCATTACGTTCAATCGTGCAACCCTTGATTCACATCCATCCCAATTCCCAATAACCTCATTCAAAGGCATGCATTTATGCAATTAATGAAAACCAAAGTGCGCTTCATAATAATGTCCAAACCCAGACGCCGATCCGAACGAAGGAGTGGATAAAGAGCTAACGCGTCGAAGTAGTCAATTCGAAGAACGAAGGTCAACGACTTAATCAACTATGGTTAAAATCATACAAATTATATTTTATACTTCATATTATATTACTCCCTCCGTCCCATAAAACATTTTCTGTTTCAAAAATGGCACGCCTTTAAAATGAGTAATTTTAGTGTTATTTTTTAATTATGACTAATCTATTCTACACATCTCATCCTACTCTTTTATAAAGTAAGGGCAAAATTAGAAAATAACATCAAAATTACTCATTTTAAGGGCGCACCTTTTTTGAAACAGGAAATGTTTTATGGGACGGAGGGAGTATTAGATATTTTTAGTTAGCAAAAGTATTTTAATTTGTTTATTTTTGTTTCTCCATCTAGTTTTTATTAGTATCATTATATTGTGCATATACTGTTTTACACTTTCTCTCTTTATATCTATTACTTTCTTTAGTTTCTTTTCTTATAGGAGTATAACATTGACATTTTAAAATTTAATTTAGTTGACTGAAATGATTGAAAATTTAGTTAACAATGAAGTCACAGAGTTCAATTCCCGCTTTTGCCTAAAATTCTATTTTTAAAATTAAAAAAAGTAGGTTTAGGTCTAAGCCCGTGAACCAGCCAGGCCGACCCGGGTTATCAGGTTCGACAAGTTTAGATAATTTAGATAATTGAGGGCATTATTGACGGGGGTTGAGGGTAGCATCTATGAATGTTTTAATAGGCAGCATAAGATAACAAAAAAGAATGGATTTTATTTCAAATATTTATTTAATGTGAACTTTTATAGCGGGCAATGTAATGTTTTTTCATAAACAACTAATTGTATGAAATAAAATATAATCAAAAAATTTATACAAAATGAAACACATATTAAAATTGGTTCTTTGCATATCTATAGGGGCTCCCTTTTATCGAGTCTTTAGAATCCTGATTTACCTCCCTCCACAAATCTTGTCGGGGTCTGGGGCGTGTAGGATTCAAAGTTTTTGCAAACATTGAATGACTTCCCAGTACCCCTCGCTAATGGAGAACTTTGCTCTCAGCCTTGTTGAAGTCTTTAATAACATTCTCTTTTAAGTCATTTAGTTCAATTCTCAGGTCATCATTGTTGTATTAAGGTGCCCGGACGGCAACTCCAGCTAGTTTGAGTGTATATGAATATTTATAATTAAAGAATAAAAAGTCATAAATATTGTTTATGCAAATAATAAGATGTTTCATAAACTACAATAGTAAAGTAATAAAGCATAAATAAAAAAAACTCTTCAAACAAACAAAAGCTTTTATATTGCCAAAACTGACTTGTTTGAAAGTTGAAACTGACATGACACTGGGTGTGATAGAGATTATGGGACACCAAATTTGCATTAGAATGTTATGCTCACAAACAAAACTGACAAAAAAATCACAAACTTGCTATTTATGAAACTTCTTTAAGAACCAAATTGTTTAATTTCAAATAACTAAAAAAATCACAAACTAACTTCACTTTGTTTATACATTTTCATCGATCATTTGATAAAATAAAACAACCGTGTCACCACTCATTTTGTAGAACTTTTGATGTAGTTTTTTAATACGGAGTATGTAATTTTTATTTTTTGATTCTATACCAATTTTTACTTATATTAACTTGAAAATAGTTTCAGTCAAACATTGTAAATTGAACAAGAACCTTATTTTGGGACGGAGGGAGTATTTAATATGCAATACAATAATGTGGGCGGTTCGCATTACATTGCTTAGAAATGTCATGGGATGACCCTGATGTCGTACGATGCTCTGTTCGTAAAATTGACGGTTCTTACCCTCTTATCGCCCCCGATAAACCCCCCGCCCCGCCCCTTCAATTTAACCCCACAAATTAACATTTAAAATGTTAAAAAACTATATATGTTAGGATAAAACTTCCATACGAATAAAGCTAGACGCCACGGAGGACATTCAAAATAAATTTGCAGTGCCAAAGAAGCTCAAAGGATTGAGTATATAAGTGGCTCTCCTCATTATTAATGTTGAATACGTAACATCTAAGGCATGCATTTGCACATGATGAAGCCCAATATACATGGAGACAATGGAGTCCCATATACTAATAATAATCCTACTCTTTTTGGAACTTTATTTTCTCTTAAAATTGACTTCTTCTTTTCTTTTAAATTTTGCTAGGTACAGTATATAGCTTGAAGAAAATACAAATTAAACTAATACTCCCTATGTACATGGTTACATACTCTCTACGGCCTTGTTTGGGAACAATATTTTTTATTAGTGTTAGCATTTATAGAATTTTAATGATATAGATTAATTCTGAAAACGCTAACGCTAAAAGCTACCATCGGATAGCTTTTTCAAAACGCTAACACTAATCTCTAACGCTGATACCAAACGGGACCTATGTCTCACCAAAAATATCAATAATACTTCCCAATTACACCTGTCAAAAAAAGACCCAACCTTTTTTTTACCTGAAACCCAACCTGGAAACACTGAGTTTTGAACAAATATTTTATTGTCCGAACCCGAAATGACCCGTTAAAAATGGGTCAAACCCAACCAAACCCAAATCCGACCTGACCGACCCGCTAATGTAAGAATTTTTCAAAATCATATACTTTACTATGAAATATAATATTATAAAAACAAGGTTACAATTATATATTTGTCTTACTATTCATTTTTTGTGTATAAGTTTATACTTTCGGACAAAAATATAATGATATTGCATATTTATTTTACTTTTTTCCAAAACTCATGAATTTTTAAAATTCTTTATATTGATTTGTATATCTAAAAATTACATTAGAATTTTAAATAAAATAATCTAATAGATTTAATACATATTTTTTGATATTCTAAATTTATTTAATGCAAAATGCAAGTGTTAAGTTAAATTTAAACACCAAAGTCATAACCCGTTGTACTGACCCAAAGCCGATGACACTGGGATAAACATAGAGTTCTCAATATGAATCAGAAGTAACCCGAATCTGAAGTGACCGAACTCGACCTGACCGACCGATTTGCCAGCTCTATGCCCAATACCCATCACCATAAACTGCCCAACATATATGAGCGGCGCAATATATCTCAAAAATATAATGCATTCAACAGAAACACTAAGAAATCAATGGGTTTTGACATAGAATATAAGAAACTATAGATATAACGCTAACATTAAGGATCCATGGTTTTTAGAGCATAAGAAGCCACATAGTTCAAGAGTGCATAATAACAAACATGCTTCTTAGAGAAAAGAAAATCCTAGTAAACAGAACACTTTGCCTTCTCAGCCATTACCTGTGGATTTGTAATGCCACTCATCTATGGTGGAGTAAACAAGCCCATCTGATTCCAAAGATTCAATTGCTCCTAAGATCTTCTCGGGAGGAATATTTAGCTTTTCAGCAAGCTCATTCCGGTGAACCCCTTTCTCTCGTGCAAGGCACGAGGGCTGCTGCAAGTAGTTCAAGACCATCTCTTCAACACCTGTAACTTTATCCATGGGGTACCCATGAAAATTTGGATGGGAAACTTGGTATCCCTTCATAGGTGTGTTCATAGCTGAACTTGGCATGTGAGAAGAAGAAAAAGTATTATGAGCACTACCCTCTTGAAGCTTCCGCGACTTCGTGTTGTGGCAAAAAGCGTAAATAGCCTCAGCAAAGTGATATGCAATCTCGTTATAATCCTCCACGGGCCTGACAGAGTAAGTCATCAACTGTTTCTTGCCCTGAAACCCCTTCAAGTGTCCATGGACTTTAACATACATCCCATTTGAGATGGCTCCCATTTCTGTCTTGTCAAATGGTTCGTTTAACCATCGGTGGCAGTCGACACGTCCAGTTCCATCATCTAGCGCGAATGAAATATCAGTTGCCCGATCAGCTATGTTGAACGCAATTCCCACTAGTTTTACATTGTTCACATCAACACCATCTACTAGAAAATTTATCTTATCATCACTCGTTTGGACGGCATCAATTATCTGCTTCACTGTCAATGGAAGCAATGACTGTGTATCTCGGCTCTTGGATGCAGAATAAGGAGGATCACTAGTAGTTTGAGTTGCCTGAGAGTGCATGAAGCCGCCTCCTGAGAAGGCTGCGTTGCTATCAAAAGAGGCATTCCCGCCATACATCTCTTCTCTTGGTTATTACTTTCTTAATACTCTGTTACACAGAAGAATGAAATAGAATAGTGGGGAGACTATTATGCAGATTTGAGAAATGAAACCATGGGAGGAAAAGAAGAAGATTAGAAGTAGAAGAGCATTTTAGAATAAAAAAAGATTAGGTTCTAATAAAACAAAAGTGATTTAATTTTAATTTATAGAAGGATATAGTAAATGTTACTTCATGGGTCATCCGGAAACAGCTCCTCTATGTTTTAAACATAGGGGTCAGACTGCGTACATCCGACCCCCCCCCCCTTACCCTGCAATGGGCAGGAGCCGTTGAGGCATTGGGGTAATGTTGTTGTTGTTTGTATATAGTAAATGTTACTCCTATTTCAGAACAATAGTACCCATCTTGTCTTAGTTACAAGACTTTAGAATTAACTAATCACAAGATGACATCCTATTTGAAATTTAAAATTAGTGCATGAATCCATAAAAACACATATAAGGCTATCTATCTTTCTGCACTAATAATCTCTGCATTTTCCCGGTTCAAGCTAAACTCAGAAGAGAATAAACAATAGCAAAAAACAAAAATAAAAAAAGAAAACATACATGGGACAAGATCTCAGACTTACATGAAAAAATAAATAGATAAATAAATAAAGGGCAACATGTTGAAGCTATAGAATATATTCAAACTCAAAGAGCATATTCTGAGCTTTAGTGTTTGCTCAAAAGCTACATTGTAAAATGACCATTGACACATAACTTAAGTTCTGCTTGTTCTTCTATGTATTACTGTAGACTTATTTTACACAAATTAACGCAGAATTTAAGTTGCATTGTCTGCTGAAAAGCTACAGTGTCAGTGGTTTTTCTAATTGAAAGGGATGAAGAATTATTTGAAAACAACAACGCAACAAGAAAATGCATATAACCCCAACTTCATTATGGTGCGGAAAAGGTGTACATAACCTCACTCCTGTAAGGCTGTAAACAAAAAACAGAGAAGAGACTTCATAGCATTTCCATGGATTTAAAATTTGAAATACTGATGATAACTTGATATATTATGAAAATGGTATTATGTTGGCTGGGGATGGTTTATAATTTTGGACTGACTAATACTCTAATACACATATGAAGTTTCTGTTAGAAAGTATTGGACGCAAAAGGTTGTAGCGTTATTGATACTTAAGCATTTTCACTAACCATCCCTTTCTGACAATATCAGCTCATTATTTGGTGTTCATGAAGAGGGAGGTGTTCTAGAGCATGATGATTCTACACCAGAAGGTTATACCAATACAATAAGGGCCAATGGTAATGTTCGTCTGAGAATGCCAAGATCATTTCCCGACAAAATCTTTCTGATTCTACTCCTGATGAATTTATTGTACGTTTATAATTTAATTATAGTGGTCAATACTCATTCTTTGGGGGGGTGATACGCTCATGACACTGGATGATGCGGATGTGTTTCCGACGGACGTTGCCCTAACAAGGCAAACAATAGGTTTCTAATCCTCTACGCTAGTATAACGTACCAACACGAAATTTGGACTTCTTAAACCTCAAGTTAAATGAAATTTAACATGATAATTAAAGAACTCTCGAAGTGTTAAATGTCACACTTAATCACACTCAAGAGAAAACCTTTTCTTACTACCAAAATGGTGAAACAATATCATTTAAATGCCAAGTCCCAAGCTGTTTTTACAATGGGCAAAACGAACTTATTATAAGAATATAGGCTACTTAGCACACTCATTTTACAATGCCATTTTTCACATTGCCTAGTTCCACTCATTCTACTTAGCACACTCATATTACACGCAATATGGCAGGTTACGCAATTCCATTTTTTTACATTGCATATATATAATATGTATTTTCAAACACAAAATACCCAAGTATACATATCTTGTGATGCTCTCGGGATGAACGAATCTGAGGCAAATGTTAAAATCTGCACACTGAATTTCTGATATTGTAAATGTTCAATCAAAATGTAAAGTCTGTATCTAAATATAATCAAACACAAGTTAAATTATACATAATTCAACAGAACTTGGCCAAGCTACAAAATAAATCTGCTTTATCAAAAAAACCATGGACACACGTCCTAGAACTTGAGGGTAGAAAATGGGTATAATGGCATACAAAATGGAACTCGTTTGAAACTACTCCGCCTCAAATCTCAATAGTTCCACTTCTCTGAATCAACAATTTTTTTTCTTTTACTTGTAATCTCAATCCAAACATTTTCTTTTACTTAAAGAAGTTGTAATTGAAGAAATCTAACTTGCAACTGTTTCAGACGATTAAAAACAGAAAACTAAGATAGGGATGTAAAGCAAGAATAATTTTACGGAGAAGACTCAGAAATCGAAAATTCAGAGAAGATTAGTAGAAGTTAGAGGAACCATACCTGAAAGGAAAGATGCTGTGGAGGTTTTGGGAGAATGGAGATTAGACAAAGGAGGGAGTGGATAGATATTTTATTTCCCAAAATAATACCAGACTTTCAAAAATAATCTCACATTTCACTGTGATGCATAATAATCCCAACTTTACTATTTGCCAGTTTTGGATTGTCGTTAAGTTTCTAACGGAGGGATAATGGAAATGTCTGTTTTAGGCAACAAAATGAAAGTTGAGATTATTTTTGATGAATTTTTCTTTTTTAATTTTTTTTGAAATTTTTATTTAAATTTTTTGAATTACTTTCAACCTTCATTTCTTTTTCTTTTTTAAAGATTATTCTTACCTTAGAAAAAAATAGATATAAAAAATAATGAAAATGAGAAAAATAACTAAAATCATACAAAATTAATCAAATAAATAATGTAATCAATAGAAATTAAATAAAAACTGGTAAGAAATAAAATAAATATATATGGAGTCGTGGGTTTAACATTTTACACACTATACGGAGTCTTAATGTACTCCGGGGTACTACTTATTTTTTAAAAGAACAAGCCGTCCGGTAAAATTGGAATTATTGTAGATAATTTTTTCTAAAAATAAGAAGTGATATGTTAATACTTTGTATAATGCCTAAAATATTAAAACTGACCCGTATATTTTTATTTTACTTTTTCTAATTTCAAGTTAGTTTCCATTGATTACCTTATTTATTTTATTATTTTTGTATCATTTTAGTTACATTTCTCATTTTTTCATTTTTTATATCTATTGTTTTTATTTTTTAAACTAAGAGTAATCCTTTATATATAATATTTGAGAGTTGAACTCTCAGAATTGCGACATTTGGCATGCTGACTGGAACATTTTTTGACAATTCATCACCCACGTCATCAAAATCGACTTCTTCAATATTTCAAACGGGTTGAGCTTCTAGAATTGTGACATGTGGCGTGCTTATTAGACAACATTTTTAACATATCACCATGTCATGTTAGCAAATAATGTTTAAAAAATAGTTAACAAAAAAACTTATTATGCGGAAATTAAATTTCATATTTGTTACACACAAATTTCTCCATATAATTGTGTTTAAAAACTTTTATATTTTCAATCATAATTGGAAAATATTTAAATTAAATAGTATATTTTGAAATTTTAAAAAAACACCTATTCAAAAACTATAATCAAAACAAATAAATTTACTTTAAGAACGGATAGATTGGTAGGACTAAACGAAATTACATTTGATTTTTTTGCTTTGAATTAATACGAATTGGAGAGATTTTCTAATTATTTAAAAACAAGAAACAAATATATCAAAGGAAATGTATTTTTATGGGCACGCTTATTTAATAGAGCATTAATTTTATTCCGTATATATAAAAAATTCTAAATCAAATAAAAAGTATGTTCCATTTTAAAATTAGTATTTTCCATCTTAAAATTATTTTTTCCATGTATAGCTTTGTAAAAATTTACATGTAACAAAAATTATCATTTCCATTTATAACTTTGTAAAATGATCAAGACTTGGTAAGTGAGTATTTATGTGTAAGAAATTAAATATTAATTGGTGTTCCTAATCGAAATATTTTAAGTATAATATTAATTGTTATAAATGTAATTACTTTTATATTTAATTCTTAAAAAATATAGTGTGGTAATTATTTTGACATCTATGTCAAAATAATATAAGTAAGTAATATTCTTTCTTATTTATTCATTGAACCATCAACATCAATGTAACAAATATTAATGGATAAAAAAAATATATTTAAAGTTTTTAGATAAAAAAATATAATATTTATTTTATTATGCTTATTGCAAATACAGAAGGAGATGGATCATCATCGGCTATAAACTCGCATCATCGAACACGTTCGAGAAAGAATGTACTTTGCAAACACGTTTCATTACATATTTCCCAAAAAATAATCTATAATTTTCCAACCACGAAACAATTATACACACGCTTCATCGCGCTTAGTGCATAATAAACAGAAGAGAATTGATTTATGTTTAAACTCATTCTACTAATTTCTTTGAATATGATAATACAACTATTGTCTTTTTGTATAAAATATTATAAACAATGTAACAAAATATATATAAAAGACTGCCTACATCATATTTTATTTTTCCTTCATCTATTTTGGGAATCTTGCATTTATGTGTGAGTTTCGGGAAACTTTGTTATGACATGAACCATGAAGAAAGAATTAAATGAATAAAGATTCAAAACATCTAAAGTTTTCAATTTATTGCATAAAAGAAAAAGTTTAATTGTCTCTTCTAAAGAAAACCATCTGATTTGCTCTATAATTTATTTTATGGTTTTGGTGTGAAGAGTTCTCATTACCATGAAAAATTTAAATAAATACAACGGTATGTTTTCATTAACATTTATAAATAGAAATATTGATACATCTCACAATAATGGTTGAGCAATAATGTACTCTCAGCGGACACATTCATCATCACATACCATGTTTGATGTCACAATATGGTGAAAGGCCAAAATTTACACAATTGTATATTTATGGTATACAGTACGAGATATGAAAACAAATTACTCATTTTAGGTATCTCGAATACTTTATTGAGTACATCCTTTTAATAAAAATATTATTTACATGTGTTTGACAATATAATACACATGGAACATTATTAACATGCTAATAAAAACAAATTGTTCTATTTGTTTCGCACAGTAGGGAGAATAATTCTTTGACTACTGATAAAAGTTTGGTCAAAGATTTGAAAAATATGGTAGATGAGCATAATGTTTTAACACGGATATTTATAAAACTAAAGACTTCATGGATAATGAGCCTACTTCTAATGTATCATTGAGGCTGTTGAAAAGTAAGACTTCATATATAATGAGCCTACTTCTAATGTATCATTGATGTTGTTGACAAGTAAAACTAGAGACTCAAGAAATTATAATATCTCCACAATACATGAAGTTGGTGCTCTAATAGTTAAAGATCTTAATTCTTAACACAAGTTATTCCTCAACGAATATAGTGAACTTCACTTATTCAAACTTATTCGAGAACATAAAAAACTATTATATTTTTTTAAGATAGTGCACTATTGACACCCGTGCTCGAGGTTGTTGAATGGTAAATGAATTTGTCTTATCCTTTATTCCATGAGGTGAAAAGTAGTACTTAATTTCTTATTCTTCATGCCAACATGTTTGGAATTAAAAAAGACATTTTTGAGTATATTTTCAATTCCTCAAATATTATTTATTCTACCTTGGTGTTTTTGTCCAATGATAAAAAATCATGTTAGAAATATATTTACTTGATCCGGAAAATATATTTCATTAAAAAAAATTCAGAATCGACAAAAATTTCGTCGACCCTGTGCATCGCACGGGTAGAAATACTAGTCTTTAAAAAACGAAAAAGAAATGATGATGGAGGTAGAAAGTAATTTAAAAAATTTAAATGAAAATTTCAAAAATAAAAAATAAAAAATAAAAATTCATCAAAAATAATCTCAACTTTCATTTTGTTGCCTAAAACGGGCATTTCCGTTAACCCTCCATTAGAAACTTAATGGCAACCCAAAACTGGCAAATTTCATTAAAGTTGGGATTATTATGCATCACAGTGAAAGGTAGGATTATTTTTGAAAGACCGGGTAAAGTTGGGATTATTTTGGGTACTTTTTCCTTATTTTAACTTGTTATAAATTATTACAGAGTATTATTTTTTAATGGATCTACTACTGCCTGTTTTGTTCGTCTCATCTGATCTGATATGATTTTTTGAAGTTCTAATTTGATTTAATTGGATCTAATATGGTATGATCTAATTGGATCTGATTGGATATAAAATTGATTTAAATTAAATTATTATTAAAATAGTTATAATAATAATAGAAATATTAGTAATAATAGAAACAGTAATAATATAAATAATAATAAGAATAGTTAAAATAATAATAACTATAATAATAATAATAATAATTATAATAATAATAAAAATAGTAATAATAAAAATAGTAATAATAATAATAATAATAATAGCAATATTAATAATAACAATCGCAATATTAATAATAGTAACAATAATAATAGTAATAATAATAGTAGTAATAATAATAATAATAGTATTAATAGTAATAGTAATAGTAATAATAAAAATAGTAATAATTATAATAACAATAGTAGTAATAATAATAATACAAATAGTAATAATAATAATAATAATAGAAATATGAATAATAATAATAGTAACAGTAATAATAACAATAGTATTAATAATTATAATCATAATAATAGTAATAATAATAATAAGAGTACAGGTAGTAATAGTAATAATAATAATAATAGTACTAATAACAATAATATTTATATTAACAGTAGTCATAGTAATAATAATAATAGTAATAATAATAATCAAAATAATAATAGTAATAGTAATAATAATAGTATTATTATTACTATCATTAATTTTGTATAGATCTGATTTTGTTGGACCTAGTCAGATCTAGTCTGATCTGATTGGACATGATTTGATCTGATTAAAGCTGATCAGATCTAATTTTAATAAGAATTAGTAATAAGAATAAAAAATAAGTTGAACAGAACATTGCCCAGGTCAGATCAGATCTAATCTGAAACAATTTTATATAGAACTATATTTAGATTAAATCAAATCAGACCAAATCTGAATTTATTTCAATAAGATCAGAATTATTCAAATCAAGTGAAGAGAACATAGCTTTAAAGAAGGGAGAAAACCCAAAATAGCACTCTTAAAGCCTTAAAATACTCTAAATAGCAGTGCTATATGTCTTGTACAGGAGGAATTTACTTAAATAATACTAAAACATAATAACTTTCTCTAAATAGCACCACATGTGTTTTTATTCCCAATGTAGCACTTTAAGTCATTTTGTATTAGTCATTATTCAAGCAAATAGTCGCCATCACTGGACATTATTAAGTGCTATTTAGGGAATAAAAAAGTTTAAGTACTATTTAGGGAAATGACTTAAGTTTTAATGTTATTTAGTGCAAATATTTCTTTGTAAAGTGTGGTTGTTCACTTGTATTTGTGTAGTGGGCAGTGTGGTTGTTCACTTGTAATTGTGTAGTGGGTAGTGTATTTTTTATATGTGAGTATTTAATGTGGCAATGTAGAATGG